TTGAATTTTTGATCCCCCTGGCTCTGTGTCTCAGAGTGAGAGCTTTACAGGTGTGTGCCTCTGTGCCTGGCTTGAGCTTTCTCTGATAGAGACTATATTAAGAAATAAAGAGTCGGGGTTTTAGCTCAGTGGCACCGTGCCTGCCTCACAAGTGCAAGGTCCTGAGTTGGATGCCCAGTAACAAAGAAAAAAAAAGAAAAGAAAAGAAAAAGAAACATATTTTACGCAGTGCTCATATACATTGATTTATAACTGATGCAAAGTTTCATGAAAAATACCAATTCTACTATGTAGAATATATTCTGATTATATTCTGAATATATTCTGATTTTCTCTATTACTTCATTAAAAAACAAAAACCATGCTGGTCACCTTCCACTAAGCTAATTTCATAATCTTCTAATAAGAACAACCGGCAACTTGAAAAATAGTGATAGAATTCAATATTCCCATATTACAGGTTAGAAAACTGAGGCTCCCAAAGCAGAATCAATCTGCTGAGGTGACAGAGAAGTTTAGAAATACAGCATGGCCTAGAAGCCAGATCTCAGATCCTAGTCATGAAAGAACCATGCGTCATCTAGTGCCACGCCTCTGCCCCCTGCCCCTGGGCACAAGCACATCTCCACCTCCTGGCCAGCCCCACCTTTGGCCCTGGGGATGCACTGGGGATGCACCTACATCCCTGCTCAGCCCCAACTTCTCTCTCCTCTCTTTCTAGCCTGTGTCATTTCCTTTTAGCTTTTGCTCATGTCCCAACACTTTCAAGCCTGTGTAGCAGAAGTGGCACAATTTCTTGGCCTCCAGCCAGTGGGAAGCCAGGGGCTGTTGGACAACCGAGCTGGGGAGGTTCCCTGAAACAAAACAAAACAAGCCCTGGATGGGTGGCTTTCCTTGTCCCTAGAAGGGGGGGAGTTAGACTTGAACCTTCTTTCTTGTATGGTTATTGTTGGGAGCCCAGCTATATCCATCTCAGTTCTGGGGCCTCCAGAGTTGGTTGTAACAAAGATCATAGGATGAAGAATATAATGGCAAAAAGAACATGAGGAGAGGAAGGTTTGAAGTTTTTATGAGCTGCCTGGCATCAAGGAGGGCCTCTTCTGGGCCAGACACTACACTATAAGAATTTTACCTGCATTATGTCCTTTAATAGTCACAAACGCCCTATGATGTTCTTATACCCATTTTACAGACGAGGGATTTGGAAATTTAGTCAGGCGAAGCCATTTGCCCAACGTCACAATCCAAGTCCAGACTAGAAACTAACCTTGCCTGACCAAGGATGACTGAGCTAATGCCCTGCAGCTACCCAATGTGGTTGTGGTGGGAGTGACTCAGGTACAGTTCCTGGAGGCTGCCAGAGAGAAAGGGCCATTTCCTTGCCCATACATCATGCTGTCAGGGTGAGAGGAGGAGAGGGGAAGACATCTCATCCTTTTCCCTTCCAAAGAGAGCTTAGAATTTCTTAGTGGCTTGAAACTACAGCTTCTGAAACCCAACAAGGAGTGTTGTACTAGTCTAAGTCCACCCCAAACCAATTAAATCAAGATTTGGATTAAGGGCAGTACTGATATTTTTTTCAAAGCTCTCCTAGTGATTCTGATGTGCAGCAGCTAGTGCTGAGAATCAGTAACTCAAGCCTTGGTATCATCTTACACTTCAGGAAGCTGGTTCACTTTACCTGTCTCACCTGAGATACACAGTGACTCTGGGAGGGGTCACGGTCTTCTCACACTGTCCTCCTGCAGGGGAAAATAGGGCTAAGAGAAGGGACTGTGAACTCCTTTTAACACATCTCTTGCCCTGACCAGAGACTGGTAGAGTGCTTTGCCTATCAAACACAAGACCTTGGGTTTGGTCCTCAGCACCAAAAAATTAACCCTCACCCCCCGCCAAAAAAAAAAAGAAAGAAAAGGGCAAAACCCCCAACCAACCAAACAAGCAAAAACAAAACAAAACAACCCCTAAAGCAACAACAAAAAACCTAGGCTATGTTCCTGCCCTCCTTAAGTGAAAGGGAAAAAAAATCTAATAGTAGTGCACACCCCGGCATGTGGGCCCTGGGAGGAAGAGGAGCAGGAGGATTGCCTGTGTGCACAGCGGAGCCCTGAAGGCCAGAGGTAGCACAGAAGTCAGAAGCACAGGTGGACAAAAAAAGCAAAGGACCTAGGGGTCCACGGAGAGGGCTAGCACCTAGGGAGGCTCCTAATAGAGGGGTCTTCTGGGAATCATTCTTGATTAAAAAGTCAAGCTCATCTCATAGGGTTTTTCTTAAGAACCCAAGGCACGGAGAAAACAGGTTCCCAACTGAACAGGAGTTCCCAAGTGATGCTAGGCTGAAATAAGAACGTGAGGAGGAGGTGGGCTGGGGATTTAGCTCAGTGGTTCTGCTGCCTGCCTCGCAAGTACAAGGTCCCAAGTTTGATCCCCGGTACCAAAAAAAAAAGAATGTGAGGAGAACCAAGAAAACTCTACAAGATGCACTGAGAGATGGAGGCAGGATCCTAGGAGGAATTCCCCACTGCTTCCATGGAAGAAAGAGTCACTGCTGTCCGAGCTCCAGAGAAAATATTTGGTGGCAGACCAAAGGCCCAGAATGTGATGCACCTTCTGGAGGTGGAGGCAGTGAAAGCCAGAAAGGCGAATCCCTGAAGCCAAGGCCAGTGCCATGCCTGGCAAAGTACTGGGAAAGGACTGATACACAGCATCAGTGGAACAGAGCCATTTCTCCCCAAAACAGAAATTTGGGTCTTCATAGGCAGAGTTCTGAGGTTCAGGTTTGTGCTCCAAGGACTATAACAGGCTTTAGGGTGGGGCCACTGCTCTGTCTCCAGTGGGGCCCAGTGTCTATCCGCACAGCTGCACTCCTGTCCACTCTAGGGATGCATACCACTGTGCAGCAAACTGCCAGAACTTCCTTTCACACTATCATCCCATCCGAAGCCCAGGCCACCCTCTCTGCCAATGGGCAGAATGGCTGGAGCTCTCTGATTTCAACAAAGGCTTTAAATTAGAGTTGGACACGGGGTCCTCCCAAAGCAGTGCACGTATCATCCAGATTGCCCCCTGGGTCACATCTACCAACATACCCACACTTATTTTCCTGTTCCCTCTGTCCAGAATACTTCTAATCTCACAAACTGCTCCAGACCAAGTTCAGCTCATCCTCCATGAACAAGTGCCATAGACTTCCCAGGGTCTTCCATATCCTGAGTTCCAGCCAGGGTTAATTCCTTGAATTTGTTATGTAGCTTAATTACAGTCCATCTTGCATGTTACTAATGAACTGATATCACCAAGACTGAAAGCTCACTGAGGGGAGAAAGTGCACCTTGTCTGTCTCCGTGTTCCCCCTGGTGCCTGGCATAGCCCTGTCCCTTAATAGTCCCGTAGACTGTGACACATGAGCCCCTCCTAGCTGAGTGGCCAGGAGCTGAGCCAGGAAGTGATTGCAAATTTAAGGGACTGAATGTATTCACCTGCCTCTTCACCCACTTTGTTGTGACCTTAGTACACCTCTGGTCATTGTAGGCTCTAAGAGCTCAGTACCCATGAATCCCATGGCCTCTTCAATGTCACTGTTCATGTGACCCCATCATAAGTCCTGCACAAATTTCTAGGGACTGGGCACATGCTGTGGCTTATCCTCTCCTTGTCCCGGGTGACCTTGTATGGATGCAGAACCAGTCCTGGAAAGGGCCTCCAAGTCCATCTATTTAAGCCCTTCCTCTTATAAACTAGGGGCACAGCAGTAGAAGGAAACAACACAGCAGTTGGTAACAGAGCTCAAATAAGAAAACATGTTAAGAATTGCTTTCGTATGTTCCAGATGTCACATGGACTCATGGGTGAGCTCAGCCCTGGCAGCAAAATACAGTGGAAAACTTTCACGGTGGCTGGGACATGGCTGGGCTCTGCTATCAACTTGCTGTGTGGTCTTGGCAAGGCTTTTCCTGCTTCAGGCCTCAGTTTCCTCCTGAGGGGAGAGAAAAGAGCTAGATGACAGCTACCTCATCCCCTTTTCATAAGGTCTGCAGTGCCTAGAGTGCTTCTTGTTAGCATCCCAGGCATGCTGTTCATTCACAGGAGGGAAAGGGAACATTTTTGTAACCATCTGGTTCTGGTAGTATCAGTGATTACTTAGGTAGCCAGCATTCACCTTTTGTACCTGGCTCAGTAATATCTTTGGGAAACCTTCCTGTGGTTCAAAATCACCATTCATGGTAGTTTACAGGTTTGACTAATGCCTTATTTGGGTTTGGCATCGCTGCTGTCAACATTCTAGTCTGAAGACCCATGACAGGCAATAATTAGCAGGCTACTTAGTAGGGGCGCTAATTAACAAAGGGCCCAAATCCTCGACAGTAACTGACAGTGCCCACATAGCCAAAGAACCTGCCCTTCTTGTTCTTTCTCACTCCCTTCCCTGGAAGGGACAGTGAGGATCTTGTGGCACGCCTGTTGCTTCTGCTACTGGGATTCAGCGCATCACCGAGCCTGCTGGTGCTTCTGGATGTGTAGTTTACTTAGGAACATCCCAGCGATGCCAAGGGTTACAAGCTCTTATTCTCTTACCCCTTATAGCTCTAAGATGTGCTTTTCTTTGCTCCACTACTAACAGCTGGTAAAACTATACTGAGAAACACCGGGAGCGGATGCCCTCTGGTTTGACTTTACAGGGGACAATCAGTGTGTAAAAGAAGCATCAATAAGGCAAAATTCATCCTCGGACTAAAGGGACATTACCTCCAACTGTGTTTGACACCCTGCCCATCACTCAGAGTTACACTCCAGTCTTATGCCACTTTTGGAATGAGCTAGACAGAACCAACAGCTATTTTGAAGAGCCACTTTGGAACAGGACCTTGAAACACTAAGATCTATCCTTCAGAGTCCCCAAGACAGGTAGCTGTTTCTTCCAGCCACCTTGGCCTCACAGACTGGTCCAGGGGAAACAGTGGCTTCCAGCAAGGGTCTACTGGAGGGTGCGACACACTCACCACTCATGATCCGCCTTCCTCTGCCTCTCCTGGGGCTCCTCTGGGAATGACAGAGCTGGTGTTCGGAGACCGTGTCAGGATTGTCTTACCATTTATAGAAGCCTCTCCTACACACCTCAATTAGAATTCTAATGAGGTGGGTGAGGCACCAGGTCATTCCTGTAGTGCCTGTAAACGTTTCACTTACAACATGCTAGTCACCCAATGGAAGGTCATTGTGCTTGTGCAAGGCTAACTTAGGAAAAGGTGGGGGGAGGTGGTATAAGAAGGTGAGATAGTTTGCTTTTATGATTAAAAAAAAAATGAACAAGTTCCTAGATGGTAGGGTTTAGGAAATTATGATGTGCTTTTCTTGAAAGTATCTTGCCCAGAGAGGATACTGGCAAGTCCCCTCTGGGTAAAGGAAGTGTCTTTGCAGAATCCAGAGCAGAAAAAGTGAAGTTCTTTCTCACTGTACACATATGTTAGTATTTCTCACTTGCACGAGGGGTATGAGACACATCATGGGTGGTTTACCTAATATGCATGAGGCCCTGGGTTCAATTCCCAAATCCCCAGCACTGAAAAAAAAAAGAAGAAGAAAGAAAGGAGTTGAGAGTGTTTAAGACATGCTTTACACTGTGCTGGGATTTTCTGTTCAGTCCTTGGCTGAAGGCTGCCATGTGGGAGGTATAGGTGGCTTGTGTTATTCATCTTTTCTCAGATCCTACCAGAGGAACCCATGCAGAAACACACACACTTGAACAAGTGACTCGATCAACCAGTGTAAGGATGGGGATTGTAACTGTATCCTTTCTGTGCTCACTGTGAGCAGGTGCTGGATACTTTTCCTGTGCTACCTGTTCTCATGTTCACCTTAACCCTCTGACACAGGTGCTACTGTCAGTGCCTTGGTACAGAGGGGTCTATGCAGCCATGACATCCTTACCATGGGTAAGTCACTCCACAGCCTGTTTGCCTTGCCTCTGAGGCCACTGTCTAGAGGAGGGGGAACTCAATCTCTCCCAAGCCTTGGTGGCTCTTAGGGTAGTGGCCTGGCACCTGCCCCAGACAGATGACCCAGAGGAGAAAATCAGTGTATAGCAAGAGCCCTGAACCCCAGTGAGGAAGATCTAGGGTGGCTTTGGGCCCTGGCATGGCACTAGCTGTGACTCTGGGTAGGGCCTGCATTGTGAAGGGTCATTGTGCTCATTATTAGTAGTACTGTTATTGGCCTGGGAGCCAAGAGGAGCTGGACCCTAGACATTCCTTCAGTGATCTGACAAAGTAACCTACAGAGATGACAGTACACAGCACTGCCCTTGGAGAGAAACCCGAGATCACACTGACCTGGGTCACATATTTTCTGGCTCTGTCAAGTTACTTCCCCTCTCAGAGCCTCTGTTTCCTTATCTGTAAAACCAAGGTGGAATTGCTATGAGCATTAAAGGAATCAATGAATAAAACTTCATAATTAGCACAGCACTGGGAACAGCACAGTGTAAGAAGTTAGTATTTACTATTATCCTTCAGGAACTCACAGACCAAAGTGTCATATATTTTGCAAAGGGGAACTACAAGTTTGGACACTGGTGTCTGACCACTGACTATATGATCTTCCTTTGGAAGGGTCTGTAGCTGATCAGCCTTGACCCCACAGTGATAAGGTAGAAAAATACACCGAGTTGGATTCAAAAGACCCACATTCAGGGCCAGACACTGTAGCTTGCCCACTGTGTGGCCTTAGCCAAATCCTGTCATTTCTTTGAGCCTCAGTGTCCTCATCAACCTGATCCCCAGGGCTGCAGTGGGGCTCAGAACCATGGTGGAGTTTGGTAGTAGCAAGGAGGCTCCCTTGAAGACAGATGAGCATCACACTGACGTCAGGGGCCAGTTTTCCTTGTCCCCTCTACCACTTCCCTGCCAGGCTGGCCTGAGTGGACTGAATGTTAGTTCCTGGAGGATTGCACCACAGCCGTGGTCGCAGCCTCCACCGGCAGGCAGACTATAATTTACTGGCTGTGTCACAATTTCAGCTAAATGATTTTCAATTCATAGGTGGAGTCACTTAGCTACAGGCAGGATGAAATTCCTGCTTGGCTACACCTCTGCATCTTAGACTCCAGTTAAGATAGGGCATGCAAACACAGGCTTTTAAAAAGAGAAGCTAAGTGATCACTTGCCTTTTTTCTCCTTCTAATTAAGGGATTTAGGACTTCTAAAGACTTTGCAACACATGTAGGAACACAGACTCATGAAAAGTCATCCAGTCCAGGTGATGTCCCAGCCTGAGTCCCCTGCCTTGACACCTTTCTTTTGACAACTCTAAAGATGAGGGACCATCTGCCTGTTAAGGCAGCCTGTGCTGAACTATAGCAGCTATGGCTCCATGTTGAATTCTGGGGTGGTTGTGACTTCCCTTCTGAGCTCCAGGAGACAGGGATTTTTCTCCCACCAGTAACTGCTCAATTCCCAGTGCCTAGCACCATGTCCAGGACATGCAGTGGGCTCCCAATAAACTCAGATTAAAGTGTGTTGAAAGGACAAAAAAGTTCTCCCTCATTTGAGCTGAAAAGCTTCTGCTTACTGATCCTCTTGGCTTTTTCCCACCCCCAGCCACTCAAATGAGCCCACATAAAATGAGCCTGTTTCTTTCTTCATTTAGTAGTCATCATATTCTCCCTCAAGACTAGGAAACACCCTTTTCCCTTCCAGAAGTCTTCTGTTTTATAGGTTAAGCATTAGTTTCTTTAACCACTCCAGCTAAGTCTTGATTTGGAAACTTCTTACCATGTTATTGCTCCTGTGAATCATGGTACTTCTTTCTGAAACTTTCAAGGGCTTCCCACGCCTAATACAGCCTGAATTCCTTAGATTGACAGTCAAGCCCTTTCAGAACACATTCTTCCTTAATTCCATTATTTTCTGCTACTTTTACATGAATTCTCTTCTTCAGCAAAACATGTCTAACCATCTTTCCACCTGTTTATGAAATACTACCTAGAACGCCTTCCCTCTTCTCCCCAAGGCCCAAAGTTAAATCTCTTCTCCTGATCTTTCCTGTGCATGGTTGTGGAAAGTGCATTTGCAGTGAAGCAAGGAAATCTAGGCTTAAGTCTGAGGGACACACTCTAACTGCAGGAACCACCTTAGCAAATCACCTAACTTCTGAGCCTAAGATTTTATGGGTGCGGTGACACCCACACCACCCACTTTCAGAGTGGAACCATGAGATGACTTCTGTTAAAACCCTTGCTGATGACAAAGTGCCCTGGCTAACCCACCTCTGAACCTTTTGAAGGTGTCCTGTGTCATTTGTTAGGTAGGCAAGAATACACCATCTAAATCTGTTAGTGCCATTTCCAGGAACACCTTCAGAGTGGGTGTTTCCTCATACTTTGAGAGGGAAGTATGTATTTTCCCACGGCTGGCCTGTTCCTGATGCCCCTCTCTGTGCTAGGAGTTCCACATCATTTAACTTTGACACTTCCCTGGGAGGTAGGTACAGTATTACCATACAGTTTTACAGATGGGAAAGCAGATGCTTAGTGATGCTAAGCACCTTGATAAGGTAACATGCTAGCAAGTGGCCATTACAGGATTTCATGAGGACTGTCTCTGTCTCTCTGTCTCTCTGTCTCTCTGTCTCTCTGTCTCTCTCTCTCTCTCACTGGGAGCGGAATCTCAGGCTTCATGTAATGAAAGGCAAAATTCTACCACTGAGGTACACCTCTGACTTCCTTGTCTCTGATGAATCTTCCTGGTCAGTGAAGCCTTCGAGGGTCACACCAGCTCTTTTGTTCCAGAAACTGTCATTACTGATCCCGGTGATGATGTTGATAATCCAGGGCTGAACAGGAAGTCAGGGCCCTTCAGGGACTAACACCAAACTTTGACTTTAATGAATAAATTGAAATGAAATTACAATTGAAATGAAAACTTGGAGGAAGAGTAGCTAGAAGAGTAGCTATCTGAAAGTTTCCCCTCTGGCCCATACTGGGGCTTGAACCTAGGACCTTTGTGCCAAGCTACATCCCCAGATCCCTTTTAATGTTTTATTTTGAGACAAGGTTTTGTTGCTCATGCTGAGCTTAATGCCCAGGTGGAGTTTGAATTTGTGATCCTTCTTCAACAGCCTCCTCCCGTGCTGGGATTACAGGTGTGTGCCACCATCCTGGCTGAAAAATCCCTGCTAACTCACATCAGCGCTCATTTCACTGGCTGCCTGCTTGCAGGACAATGGTGCAGTGAAGTCTAGGAGGTACTCAGCCCTCACTGGATGAAAGACAAGAAACAACAGTTTAGGAAGATAAACTGGCCAGGAGTGGTGTTGCATGCCGGTGATCCCAGCACTTGGGAAGCTGAGGCAGGATTGCTGTGAATTTGAGATCAGTGTGGGCTACATAGTGAATTCATAGTGAGGTACATAACAACTGCAAAGAAGTGCATACCACTCATAGAGTGCTGGGTATTGATTCTGGAGATAAGTAAGGGCTGATTAGTCTGGAGGAGGCATTTCACCTGAACCCTGAAGAAACAGATCACAAAGAGGCATTCCTAGTGGCAGGAGAAGTGCAGGGAGTCTGCAGCCCATCCCCACCCCAGAAAGACTGCAGATGTATTTCTCTGGAATACACAGAACCTGAGCAGCGGGTGGGATGGACCGTAGGGACACTTAATCCTGGAGCCTAGGGAAAGCAAATGAGTGTGTAGCTCCAGCTCACTGTGTGTCAGGGCTCTTTGTGGAAAGATTGGTTTACTCTGTCAAGTTGTCCTCTGACCTTTGGGAGCAGGCAGCAGCAAAAGCAAACAGAGAAAAAGCCACAGCCTGGAGGCCAAGATGTGGTTTGCTTAAGAGCAACCCAGAGAATTGTGACGATAAGGGGCAGATCACTGGGACTATGTAAATTTTCAGAAAGGAAATGCATCAGAGATGCCTTCCAGCTCAATTCCTTCCCTTGTCTGATGAAGAAACTATGACTTGCAGAGATTTGCCTAATATCTTAGAATAGCTGATCTATATCCCAGAGCTGGAAGGGAGAGGAACGTAGGGGTCATTTCCTCAGCTTCCTCCTTTTACACATGAGAATATAAGGCCCAACATACATTCTCTGAGCTCTGTT